AACCTGCACGGCGCCACCGGCATGCATATCAGAGCCTGCCCAGACCTGCTCTTCTGTGGCTGGGCTGAGTATGCTGTGACGGTGACCAGGTGAGTCTTAGGCACCATCCAGATTTGGGGCAAATCCATTTACTGGTCGCCAGATCTGCATAACAGTCAGAGAAGGTTTATGCACATGTGCCAGCTCCGTCCCAGGCGAGGATTATGAACCCGCCTGACACCTGCAAAAAACGTCTTGGCTCTGATCTGGTCCGGGTCTGGACCAAATCAAGCCTAAAAATGAAAGAAGAATTCCCTATCTGTGCCACATCTTGGCTGAATGCGGTATGTTCATTTCACCTTTGGACCACCTCTGATTCAGAGTTTGTCCCACATCTGTAATCCAGATCCACGCTGGTTACAGGCTACAGAGACGTCTCTATAAAGACTATAGAGACATTGGCCAGTTCAGTTTATTGGTCCAGGCCAAATGTAGGATGAGATTACTGCAAAGTAATCTAAAAGTCTTTACTTACACCCCCAGATAACTCAGATAAAGGTAGAAACTTTGAGGCCTATTTTCTCACCAGTCTCTTGTGCCAACATTCAAATGGTCATATCCTCATTTTGTCAAATTCTAATGGAAAGCTTGAGACTGTACTATCTTTTTGTGAAGCAATTATGGTATTCATTGATGCCAAGCTTCTCAGTTTCTTTCTTTCATGAATTTTTTTAGTTTTTTATTTTAAGTGCGGACATGGAAGTTAGCATAGCTACAGTGAGACACAAGTTCAAGCACAAGTGAAAAGACAACATCATAAAAATAATAACATACCCACCCATTTTTCTTTGTCCTAGTAGACCTGCTACACCTTCGTAAGCAGATTACCAGTTATAATGTTCCCGTAGCGAGTAATCTGTCAGTGTTAAAATGGTCAGCATGCCTTTTGTATTTTCACTAATACAAAGTCTAATACCCAGCCCAACACAATTTATGGATTTGGGCAGTGATCCGCTTGAACGGCTAATTGTGTTGTTTTATCCCGACCTAAGGACCAAAATGCTGAACTAATACAGTGCATCCAAACTACTTTAACCAAGTCAATTTTAATTTTAAATGAAGAGCTTAGGTTTTTAAGCAGTTCGTGCTAAAAAAAAAATTTGTGAAATGAACTCATGCATGTGCCTTTGATAGCTACTTGGCAATGTTTTGCAAGAAAAGGCTGTGAAAAATGGAGGCTCAAGGAAATTTATCATCTCAAGGTTTCATCAAAGTTTAGGGAGAGATTTAGCATTCATAATGAAAGTAATTTAGAATAGCAGTCCACCTACGGCAAAACAGAATGGGAATCATAATCCTGAGCATCAGAGCTGAACGTCTCAACTAGCGCAGGCTCCGTGTAAATGGGCTTAATCAAAAGCTTTACATCTGCTGGTGTCATAATTCCAATGGAAGGTCATTACTAGTTTGGGGAGCAGCCGAGTATTTCTCCATCAGAAAAAGACGAAGAAAAAAAAAAAAAAAACCAAAAAAATTTAAAAAAAAAAAAAAAAAAAAAAAAAAAAAAAAAAACTAAAAGGGCCAAAACATGGCTGCACTGCGGGCTATCTTGCAGATAACTCTCTTAGCCAGACATGTTTCGTAATTAGTTTTTCCCCTCCACTGGGATATTCAATAACCTGCAGTTGGAGAGATGGAAGATAGTAATACTTATCTCAAATGTTTGTTTGTCGTTATTTATTTATTTATTTATTTTTTTGCCCACAAAAATAATCCTGTCATTCAGAAGGAAAGGATTAAACTAGAAAGAACATGACTGTTTCTTTTGCAGGTAAACAGGAACTTTCCCCTGGGTTTGGCACAAAATAATTTATTTCCCTTCAGTTCCTTTCTTGTGTCCCTGCAGTCCTCATTCATGGAAGCACCTGTTTTGTAAATAACATTGTGTAAGTAATACAAAAGAACAGTGGCAACAACATTAATTAAGAAAATGTACCCTTATAATACTCCAGGGATTCACCTTTACTGTGCTCTATTGTTTCCTGTGTGCTAAACTGCACCAACTTTTACTGTTAAAGACCTGACTTTTTCTTAGAGCTGGTCATGGTTAATATTATTAATTTTTCTTGAGTATACAATGTTTTAGGTAAAGAAAACATTTAAACGTGCTTATCCTGTCTGGAGTATAAAGAGAACAGTTTTCATCAGTCTCCAGTTTGGAGAGGGTAGGGGGCTGAGGGGGCGAACAACGTCCACTGGCTCCGATTCCTGATGGATAGATAATACCGGTGCATTCACATGTCCAGATTCTGGGAGATGTGATTACTTCCGACAGCTTGTTTGTTCTCATTCCACTTGGCTGGAGTCAACCCCAGAGCGTCTCCACAGGACAGAACCGAAGTGATGCGAGCAGGAAGCACACAGCTTCAAACCCCTCTCAGGACTTTCAGCAGCCATGCTAAGCTCTTCAGCGCTCTAGTTATTTGATTATTATGATTTTTTTTTTAATCTATAAACTCACACAAAAGAAAAATACATATATATTTACATGTGAAGATTTATTATTTTTTATTATTTGTTATTTATATATTTATTCATTAGTTGATGATGCTCAGGGTTGTGGGGTTGCTGGAACCTTTCAGCAACCAGGGCATGGTTTGTCCTGAACATGTTGACATTAGTGGTATTTATTCAACTTGAATGTAATTTTTTTTTTATCACCTTGAAATGAATGGCTTTTGCAAATATTATTGTATAGCTTTATTTTTTGAAGAATTTACAATTCATTTCCAGGTAAAATTAACTATGTTTGTGGATTGTGGGGTTCTGACCAAGTGTTTAAACGTTGCAGCTTTACGTTCATGTCCGGTTTACAAACCTTATTGCTCTGATGAGTTTTTAAAATCTTTTTTAATCTAGAAAATTTTCACAGTGCAATGTGAAAAAAAAAGTCTGTATAAAAATCGTAGCTTAAAACTGGATTGAAATTGTAGAAGTTGGCACAAAGACGTGAAAAGTATTCTCGCTTTAATCACACTTCCGACAACAAACGAGAATAGTGGGATGCAGTTTCAGCTCTGGACCAAACCTGTGGCCTGCAGTGACCCCACAAATGGTTATCAATAAGAATATAAGAACGAAGACTTGAGGACCTGACGTTAACCTCAGCATTGTTGAGAATGGCAAGCAATAAACAGAAATACAATAAAAATAAAATAAAATTCAGCCAAAGAATTATGCTTTTCTGCTGCTTGTACACTGTGTGAGTTGCTATAAAAAATGTGGAATATATCATTTTTAACATAGTAAAAAAAAAAAGGTTCAAAAGTTACGTTGTGGAATGTATGCAGACTCAAAAAGCAGCATGAAGCTATAAAAAATACATAAAACAAGGTTAAATTCAAAGAAAGTCCAGCTGAGCTCTCCAGAACATATTGTGCTCCAAATCTTTATGAGCTAAGATAAATATAACATGTTTCAGAGAAAATTCATGGCCTTCTGAGGAAACCGAATTGAGGAAAGTTGCTGCACTGCAAACTTCATCAACAGGGTAACATGCACATATGAATGCGTGTACTTGTGTATGTGCAGTGCTGCTGATCAAAGCCGCCGCAAAGTGAGTAGGCATACGTTTGAAGATGCCCCCCTGAGTTGCAGGCCACTCTCCACTCATGCACATTCACAAAGCATATCATTAAACATAATAGGGTTTTTATCACCGACTGTCAAGAAATACGGCTGCATTTGCATTCAAATTTAATTTGCCACACTGAAGCCCATGCAACCAAGAAATTCTCCTATATGCCCTCCCCCTGGTGTTACACACATATGCGCACGTATACATGCACAGTCTCATGTTTTTTAATGCCATCAGAAAAGGGAGGATGTCACATAAAATCACTATATTTATATTTTTTATTTTCTTGAAAATTTTATTGCTGGTGGTTTATGGCTGCATGCGAACACAGATCATCTAAAGCAGTTAAAGCTACTTAGTTTTTATTTGGCTTGATTCAATTCTGTAAAAGGCATATCCAGGGATTATCACTGCTCTTAGTTAAGCAGAGTAACACCTAAATGAACTCTATCCAAACCCACATGCTCTAATAACTTCACCATGTGTTTACAAAAACAAACAGACTCCATGTTGTGACTATTTATTGAATAAATGTAACAGAAAATTGCAAAAAAATATAAACTCTTACTTTCTCAATAGAAGAGGAGAAGAAGTGCACCAGTGCTGCTAATTAAAACGTGTTCAAATCATTGTCAGCTGGAGTGATCACCCCCATAAAAACCGGTTTTGGACACTGCATGGCTCAGCGGTAAAGCAAGTATCACATGCTGAAACAACAGCCCTGAATGCAACTGTGCTGAGGTCCATTCCCGGCCCCAGGCCATTTACTGAAGCCCACCCCCTCCTACCCGCTTCCTCTCTTTGCCTCTTTTTGATGTCCAGTTACTAATGAATAAAATAAAGCAACATTTGGACAGTTTGTTGATCTGGACCACATGGGTGTGTGTTACTGCACACACAGCTGTGCGCCTCAGGTGTGTGTTATTAGTAATGACCTTAGAGAAGCAGATGTTGATACGCATCAGTCTGGAAGGTTATAGACTAATTTCCAACAAAGCCCACTGTGACAAAACACTTCACAAGTGGAACTATTTTAGAAATCTTTGTAGAAGTGGACCTCAATGTCAGACAGCTCAGTGCTCAGAGTAACGGTAATGGCAAAAAAAACAAAAAACGAAAGAGCCCCATCCAAGAGTCCTTAGTAAATATTGTAAATAGAGAGGGACTGAAGAAAAGAAACGTTTGTTGCCTCTTACCAATATGACAGCACTACGTAGGTTCGCAAACTTGCATCTGAATGAGTCACAAGACCGCAGGAACAATGTCCTGTAGTCAGATGAGAGCAGAGGAGCTGCTATATGATCATAGTGTTCTGTCGTAATTGGCTAAAACCAAATACTTTCATGTGGCATAGGAGAATCCAGCAGAGGCTTAAAAATGGAGGTGTGTGACGACATCTAGTTTTAATAGAAAATGAACTCAATAAGCCAACCAAATAGGTTGGTTACGACAATAGAGGACAAAGAAAACCAAGCACAATACATGCCGGGCAGCTTGATTTCAGGATTACAAGACAGGTGAGTTTATGCGAGATTGCTGGGGCGTGCAGGCAGCTGGGATGCGGCGAGAAGGTACTGGTTAAAGCAGGCAACACAGAAAACCATCATTACCAAAACGTTGAAAAGAACACTCACAGGAAAGCAAACTTTCAAATGCAGAAACACAACAACAGGTTGCTGAAGGCACACTATATGAAAAGAGATGCTTTACCCATTGATAAGCATTAAGGTAGAACGATGATGTGGAGAAGTTTGCATTTGCTGAGCAAACCAGGAAATCTTCACTGTACAGATGTTTTGTTGAGCCAAAATGAGGATCTCTAGCTGAGAACTAAAGCTTGGTCCAAACACCTGTACAAGTCCTGTAAAAAAAAAAAAAAAAAAAAAAAAGACTAATTGAATTTAGTGCTCAAATGTGGAATCGCTTGTGTGTTTTGCACTTGTGATATTAGACGTTTATTTCCAAATAAAATTTTAAAGCAAACACCTTAGCTCGAAAGAGGATGTACTCATTGAATCAAGGAGAAGCAAAACTCTGTCAGAGCAAATTCTGCATGTGTTTTGATGCCATCTTGTTTCATCACAGATGCATTTTTTTTTTTACTCTAAAGAAGTGAGGGTTTTCGTCAAAGAGCGAGGGTGCTATTTTGCCTTTCTGTCTTTCTTCACCTGCAGTAATGCAGACTCCATTTCACAGACAAAATATCCTCTGTAGAAGCTGTCAGTGTTTACCCACAGGCCTGAGTCTGTATCTGAGGCCTGACATCTAATATAGAGAAGTGGCCTACAGCTCCTCCCTCCCACCCGGTTTGAAAAGAAGGAACGGAGAGATGAGGTGCAACGCCGAGCACAGAATTTGTGTTGACATCATTTATTCGTGTGTGCTTACGATGTCCAAAAAACGGTGGCCCGACTACCGATGTAGGCTTTAATAGCCATATATTGCGTAAATCAAAATGTCAAACAATAGTAGCTGAAGAGCAGTTTAAACTCTGACACTTTCAATTACTTCATGTGGAGGCCGGCGGTTCATTTGGGATGTTGTGTTGGGCTGTGTCAGTGATGCCTCTAAGCAAATATATAAAAATAAGAAAGCTGTGGATTATTTCTGTTTGTGCACGCGTTGTGGGAAGCAAGGAAGCTGAGGTGAAATGAGATGGAGAGGGTCTGAATTCTCAGAAGTCCTCTTTAGAAATAAAGTTAAAAAGTAACCACACACACACATAAAGTAAATCCTTGCAGGCAGAGAAGCAAGAAATCTTCCAAAGGTGCTTTGACACAACTTTGCCTGTGTCACTCGTGGCGATTTGTCAACAAGAGGAATGAAAGGGGGAGAAAAGACTTGATTTTCCACTTTTAACTCGGGTGACTAATGTGTTTATGAACTGAATCTGTGGAATTTATTTATTTATTTGTCAAAGCTTGTCAGGAGAAATAATATGAACGTTTAAAATCAAATAAACTTTCAGGATGAACCACGACTTTTTTTTTTTTCCTCCGACGGTGTTTATGCAATAAACACCCTACTTTATCATTTTATTGTACCTTTGGAGAGTAGAGGGTAGAGAAAGGTGCATGTTTTACAACCTATAAGGAAGACATTCCTATAAAATGAGAGCTGCCTCGTGAGCGCTATCAGGTTTTATGATCATCTTTAGCTCTCGCAGGGAGGGGAACAGAATAAGAAGTAGCCTCTTTTCCATCTCAAGCAGACACAGTCTCTAAAACGCACTGGAACGTGTGGTCTGATGCAGCCCGACGCGCTGATGCTATACACCCTTCACTCACACACACACATGCCACACACATGCCCTGCACAATGGGGGATCTCAATCCAATTAGCTAGATTATTAATTAAAGAGTGCTGTGAGACGAAAACTCGGCGCCGGTGGAGGCAGCCCAAAAGGGGCGTCCACTGAGAGGGTTCTGGACTCACTGTAGCAGTAGGTGATTAGGCTGCATCGCCAACACACCTATCCACATACACTCTGAGCAAGAAAGCAGCATTAGCTCTGTGTATTGCATACACCTGAGTGCACACATCTTTCAATTGCTTTCCATTGTTTTCCCCTCCCTTTAATTGTTTCTTCGTCATGCATTTTAATGGAATATTTAAAAGAAGCTGCCATTTATTTGGGGATTTTTGCAGGGCTACTGCAAATGAAGAGAGACCGTTTGATTCTCTTTTTTTTTTTCCCCTTTTTTAAAAAAAATAAATTTCCCTTTTATATTACCGGTAATAATCCCAATGAGATTCAAAATCTCTCTGGCAAGGACGTCTAAGAAAAGACTGCAACATAATAGTTTCACATTAAAACCACAACGTGATGAAATACACACTATAATACAAACTATTTCAAACAACTGGCAATTTACAGAAGCAGTAACATCATCAGCGGCTTTTGGTAACAAGGTGTGTACATTTGGTACTTAAATATGCATCCATCTGTCTTCTACACCTGCTTATTCCTGTAAGGCCACGGGTGGTTGGGGTTGAGGGTGGAGGTGGTGGAAAAGCCTGGACAAGTTGCTGGTCTATCATAGGGCAAGACAAACAATCACTTATACCTGGCGGCAATTTAGAGACTATGGTACTACTACCCTGAGAAAATCCACACAACTCAGCATGCAAAGTCCATGAAGAAACATCTGTTCAATACTGGGAGCTGAATCCAGGACCTTTTTCTGCTATGCACTTCTGACCAAAAAAAAAAAAAAGAGTTTGTGGAATGACATACATAAGAAAAATTGGAGCAATGGTGACTTTAGGGGTGAGGAGAGCATATAAATGAGGAGACAGATCACGTAATATGACTGTATAAAGAAGATGTACCACTGTTTTAATCTACTGTTGTGCATAGACTGCTGTCCATATGCAACAATACAAGAAATGTGTGAAGATGCAAGTGTCAGTTACAAATCTTGATGCTTCATGATAGAGTCTAACATTTTGACTTGTTCTCCTTTGACACATAATAGGATCTTTGGACAAAAAATGTTAAATCTTTGTAAAAACTTTAGATTGATCAGAATTGAGTAGGAGTTTTAATGTATGAACATTTTCCTGATCAATATCTCAGACATACGGCCAGTGTTCTGTGTAAAATCACGAAGCAACTAGGAGATGCTGTGCTCTGCAACTCAACAGTTTTTAAAGACGACATACACCAACTTCAAACTACAGCAAAAGAAAAAGACACTATAGTGGTAGGTCTCCAAAGCTTTAGAAAGGTCTAAAAACAAAGCAGCACAATTTTCTTCAGAATCAATGGCACTTGAACAACTATTTAAAACCGAAAAGGAGACGGTGGCAATGCGTTATATGATTTTTCCCTCAGAAACCAAACTGTAAAATTTGGTTTTATGGAGTAAAGCATATTATTTTATCATGTGAGTTAACATTGTATCCATTTTATCTTTATAAAACACGAAAGAATCAAGGCCAAAGTGAAAGAATACTACTAAAGAAAAACCTAAATGTTCAACCGACTTACTAACTTGAGGTTGATGTAATGAATACCTGCAAGCTATTGTACATGAAAAAGATGAAAAACTATTTGTTTAAGTCAGGTAAGACGCTTAAACCAATGCCACTCAGTAGATCATTTATAGATTTGCCTAATATCCGGTGCCCATTCCTTGAAGGGCTTGTAAAATGCAAATTAAGAGGGTGGAGATTAGAAGTGATCCCGTAATCTGATTTTTGTGGATAGTGCAATCATTTTTGTGGGGATTCATAACATGAACTAAGTACCCCCATAGGGAAAGGAGATTTTATTTAAAAATACATTTCCATTGTGCATGTACACCATGGAGTTCGCACCATATCCGAAGTCTTCAGTGCGGTTTTATGGAAAATGAGACGGATTTAAGCGCTTACTGAGATGAACATGAGAACTCCTCAAAAGTAAAATCCTCGTTTTCCTCACTACCTCATCCGAAGTTAGAAAGTTCCTCTTTGGAGACATTAGACGCACTACATCTTGATTAATATGATGTCAAGAGAAATTTATGTTTCTCACTTTGTACATTTTTTTCACATCAGCTGAACATTTTCATATGACACTAAAATACGCCTAGACTATCTGTGTTGAATCCTTGTTATTGATGTAGCAAAAACAACAGCAAAAAAGATTCAAAGATGTGAATACTTTAGCAAGGCACTCTTTACATGACAAACCACAACATAAAAAAACACTTAAATAAAAATAAATTACAACATTACTTACAGCAAAAGTGCACAACCAAACGTCTTTGATAACAATACCAAAAATCATTGTATTGTGGATCTTATTTATCAGGCTGTGATATTTTAGCTTTATCTAATGAAGTTAACCAAAAATGTTGAAATTATAATGGTAACCAGATCATTACAGCTTTTTTTGGACAATGTTTTCCTCCCAAATGCTGGTGGATCTGACCTCAGAACCTCAGATGTTGCTGTTACGATGAACCTTTAAAACAGTGTTTTAAAGGTAATTATTCAGTGTTACAAGAGATGAAATGATGTGGAGGGAGAGACGATACAAAGCCTTAGGAGCAAATATTCACTAATGGTTTTATCCACATTGTTAAATTAATGTGTTTTGATGACCCTCTGACCTGCTGATTTACATCGCGCCGCACAGACACGGGGTTGTAATAAAACCTGGCCGGACACATCCGTGCTCTCTTAGCTTCGCCAGCTTGTACGATCCAGAGTGAGTGGAGCTCCAACAGGGACGTTTAATGAAAATGAAAAAGTTAGGAGAAAAATGGGAGAAAAGCTTCCTGAAATTAATCAAGGACCTCTATTAAAGAGACAAAGGTGGGGGCGAAAAATGATCAAAACTGCAATTGCTCACAGAGACTCTCTTTTCTTTACCCCGTCTACGGCCAAACTGTTTTCAAATCGGTAACCTTTTGACGTGCTCCACCAGCCAGGCAGGAGGGATCTCCGTCTTACACAGGTACGATTTCTGCCCCAGACTGACGTAAAGTGAGTGATTTGACAAGACATACAGTGGAGATGGCAGACATTCATTTGGAAGCGTCTGATAAGCGTCTCCAACGGGAGCAGACCATAAGATCAAAATGAAATGTGCAGCTGCAGAGAAAATTCTGCCAGTAGAGCAAACAGACTTTTAAATCCTCATAACCGAATTCAGGACAATCCAGGACAAACAACTGCATCATATTTGTCAACAACAGGAGCTACTGCAAGAGAGGATAACCGTGTGAGCTGGTGCAACATGACAAACATTCTGCATTTCTAAAGGGTATCGTCAGTAAAATCATAAACTTTTTTCTTTTTTCTGTTTTTTTTTATCTATGTTTCATAGTTTGGTTCTGAACAATGGCCAGCTTCACATGTATAAGTCAG